GAAGATTCCCCTGCCAAGATTTCAAACGTTAAAGCTCATTTGACCCTGCCTCTTCATTTTGCGGGTGGAGTAACAGACCCAAAGAGAGGAAGGATTTATCTAAGGCCCCTTCCAAGGCGAATGTTCCTACAGAAAGGACACTGTTGCATGTCCTGAGTGTGCCTGATCCTGTTTTAGGCAGCTGGTGATGATCCAGAGGCAGCACCCACAGCGATTCTCAGCCTTGCTGGGTAGGATGCTTTATGTCACTTTGAGAAAGGAGGCTGTGGTTGTCTTGCAACCACTGGGGCCCTTGAATACTTGTACCCTCCCTTGTCTTCCCACTGCCTTATTCTGGGAAAATACTTGGTAAAATGTTAAAACCTCGATGCAAATGACATCGACTAAAATTTCACCTTATTTTGTACCCCTCCTTCACCACCTTACTCTGAAACAGTAGAGACTGTAGAGAGAGTAGAAAGAACAATAAGAAACTATATCCCCAGTTCAGGATTTGAGAGATGACTGAATACTGTTTCTTGATCATGATTGTGAGGTGTGGCTGGAGGAGTGAGGAGGGCCACCCATTTAATAATAGTCACCACTATTGGTCAAATACAACACACGTGCTTTTATATAGTTGCATTTATTCTCCACAATAGCCCTGTATGGTAGTTTCCAGGAATTAGGAAACTTACCCAGGGTCATTTGGCTGGATGAAGCTGGATTATATAAGCATTATATACTCATTATAGGAAATATAGATACCATACATAAAAGAGGTAAGTGATGGGGATTTGCTGTATAGCATAGGGAATTATGGGACTTCCCAGGTGGCGCTAGTGGTAAAGAACCCACCTGCCAGTGCAGGAGACATAAGAGACATGGGTTTGATCCCCTGGAGGAGGGCATGGCAACCCACTCCAGTTTTCTTGCCTGGAGAATCCCATGGACAGAGGAGCCTGGTGGCTACAGCCCATAAGGTCACAAAGAGTCGGACACGACTGAAGCAACTTAGCACAGCACAGCACATGGGAAATTATATTCAATATCTTGTAATAACCTGTAATGGAATATAATCTAAGAAAAAAAAATCCCCGAATCACTTTGCTATATACCTGAAACTAACAACATTGTAAATCAACTATACTTCAATTGAAAAAGAAAATAAAGAGAAGAAAATATATTCTCGTGCTCATGCTCAGTTGCTCAGTTGTGTCCAGGTCTTCGCAACATGGTGGACTGTAGTGCGCCAGGCTCCTCTGTCCATTGGATTTCTCAGACAAGAATACTGTCTGAATGGGTTGCCTGGCCTGTAGCCCACTGTCCAATGATAACCCAGGCTGCTTCCGTCCCGTAGTCTTTTCACTGTGCTGCCCCGTCTGCTTTCAATTCTTGCTTTTGTCCTGAGCCTTTTTGCTTCTCTTTCTTCCCCAGAAAGCCTACAGCCACTGCTTCTGCCCCATCTTTTCTTGCCCCCAGCTCTAAAGTCCTGGACAGCTAACATGACCTGGGTGGTGCTGCCAAGAATGATGACAGGGTCTGGGGCCTTCCGTGCTATCAGACCTCACAGCCCTGCCCTTCCCCTATTTATTTCCACCCCAGCACTTTTGAACTTGTACCCTTAAGAACTCTTTTAATAAAAGAGCACATTTACTCCTCTGTTAAAATGCGCCCCTAAGGGATGTCCTCTACCCAGGTCTTTGTTTGGGACGTTGCTGATACTCCATCACACAAATCCATTTCTTTCAGGTCATCACAAGTCAAGTGGAAATGACAACTTTCAAACCTTTTACAAGTGACATCAAAATTATTTTTTGTTCCATTGAAGCTTGTTATATGTGACATGAAGATGAGGTGTAATTTTATTTTTGTATTTATTTTTATTATACAATGAAAGCACATTTATTATAAAAAAAAAAAAGAAGAAAGTATAATCCAAATGCCCATAAATCCATGATCCCCAGAGGCAACCTGTTAATACCATGATGTCTTTTCTTCCAGACTACTTTTCTGTGTTTATATGTATAAACACATATGTGTATTATAGGACTTCCCCAGTAGCTTAGCAGTAAAGATTCCACCTGCAATACAGGAAAGGCAGGAGATGTGGGTTTGATACCTGGAATGGGAACATCCCCTGGAGGAGAAAATGGCAACCCACTCCAGGATTCTTTTTTTTTTTTTTCAGGATTCTTTGCTAAAAAATTCCGTGGACAGAGGAGCCTGCTGGGCTACTGTCCATGGGGTTGTGGAGTCTGTCAGACACAACTGAGTGACTGAGTACAGTACATGTGTATTATAATATGAAATCATGCTGTCATTTTTTTTCTTCGTTTTTTTGGCCTCGCCACATGGCTTGTAGGATCTTAGTTCCCCTGTGCTCAGTCGTGTCTGATTCTTTGTGACCCCGTGGACTGTAGCCCACCAGGCTCCTCTGTCCTTGGGGATTCTCCAGGCAAGAATACTGGAGTGGGTTGCCATGCCCTCCTCCAGGGGATCTTCCCAACCAGGGATCAAATCCAGGTCTTCCGCATTACAGGCAGATTCTTTACCCTCTGAGCCACCAGGGAAGCCCCAAAGTGAAAGTCTCTCTGTTGTGTCCAACTCTTTGTGACCCAGGCCAGAATTCTCCAGGCCAGAATACTGGGGTGGGTAGCTGTCCCCTTCTCCATGGGATCTTCCCAACCCAGGGATCGAGCCCAGGTCTTCTGCACTGCAGGGAGATTCTTTACCAGCTGAGCCACCAGGGAAGCCCAAGAATACTGGAGTGGGTAGCCATTCCCTTCTCCAGTGGATCTTCCCAACCCAGGAATCAAACTGGTGTCTTATGCATTGCAGGAAGATTTTTTACCAACTGATCTACCAGGGAAGTTCCCCTACCAGGGATTGAACCCGGGCCCACTGCAGTGAAAGCCCCTAACCACTGTATCGTTAGGAAATTCCCCATGCTGTCTTATAATTAGCTATTTTCACTCAAAAGTGTCTTGTGAGCATCTTTTCATGTCAATAAATATACTTTAACCACATGTCTCTGAGGAAAGTAGTGTCCAGTTACCAAGGCAAAATGCCGCTTTGATTCTCAGGGCTTCTGTTTGGGCAGGGCAGGGCAGGTGAAGTTGGAGACCCAGATGACTCATCCACTGTGTCTCAGGAGGGAGCCCGGAGTGAGAGTGCTGCTGGCACTTAAGGTAGCATCGGCTTCCAGACCGGTTTTTATTTTTTGAGACTTATTTGTTTATTTTAGTTTTTGGTTTTTGTGGTGGGTCTTTGTTGCTGCACATGGACTTTCTCTGTTTGCAGCAAGAGGGAGCAATTCTCTAGTGGTGCACACAGTCCTCATTGTGGCAGCTTCTCCTGTGTGGAGCGCAGGTTCTAGGCACTCGGTCTTAGTAGTTGTGGTGTGTAGGCTAGTAGTTGTGGCGCATGGCCTTAGTTGCTTCAAGGCATGTGGGATCCTCCAGTACCAGGGATTGAACCCAAGTCCCTTGCATTGCAAGGCAGGTTCCTAACCACTGGACCACCAGGGAAGCCCCTGGACCTGTTTTTGTTTTGTTTTAACTTTTTATTTTGTAGTGGGGTAGAGCTGATTAACAAGGTTATGATGGTTTCAGGTAAACAGCAAAGGGACTCAGCCAAGCATATGCTTGGAGAAGAATGGCAATAAGAATACCAACCTGTTTTTTAATTCTCTCTTTTCCAACAAGGAAACTTTTCATGTTGCTTCTATTTCTGACCCATACATGCTTCCCCCAGTGAAGCATCTTGCCAGCTAAGATTTAAACGCAAAAATCAAGCAAAGTTGTTCTTCCCTAAGTTTCTTTTTTCAAGTCTTGGTGTTACTTGAAGTGGCTCTCATGGTGTATTCAGAAGAGTAATAAGGTGAGAGATTTAATTCCCAATATAGCTGCTAATCCTGTTTAATTCCCCAGAGTCTTTCAGTCCTAGATGGTTTGTCCTTTCTTAGTTGAAAGACTGGTGAGTCACAGACTGCAGGAATGGAGGGCAAGAAGGTATTGAAGTTTGTGCTTTGCTGGAAAGATGCTGCTGCTTACTTTATTTGGGAGTGCTTTCAAAGTCTGGGACATTGAATTTTACTTCACCAAGCATGTCTCCTCTAATTATTACAGAACAACATGGACAATTTCTAGATTGTTTTCAATGTCTTATATGTATGAATTAATTGCAGTTTGACCCAGGTGAAAGAGAACTGTCTTAGATATATGTCCTTCCATCAAGAGAGGGAGGTAGCAGTGGTGTTTCATATGAAGCCTGGCTATTTTGCAACCAAAAAGTCTGGAAAATAGTGAATTGTCTAACAGAATTTGTACATGACCAACATGTAGAGAAGAACAGCGGCGGGGGCGGGGAGGGGGGGGAGGAAGGATTCAGTTATTGAGTAAAAGTAAAATTTTTTCATGTAAATTATGTTACACATGATGATATATCACTTATGCAAATACATGTAAAAGTCTGGTGGTTGCTTTAAATTTCCACAAATAGTTTCAATTCTTTATGCTACTATCCGCAATTATTGGTATTGTGTAGTGTAAGCTATACCGCATCTTTGTCTCATTTAAAAGAAAAAAACTCAGCAGGATTCACCACGTAATTTTGTGGCATGTAATAATGAAATTTTATTAGTATATATTTACAGGATTTAAAGTGACTGGTAATTTGCTTTTTCTTTCTGTTTTCCTTATTAATCTCTGGGTAAAAAATCCCTTGTCTCCAATGTAACTATCATTAGATCTGGGCTCTCCTTTCTTCTCATTTTGTCCTTATAAGGCTATCCTGTTTTATCACTTCCTGCTTCAGCTCCTGACTTTTTCTGTCTTCCCCTCTCCCTCTCCTGGGGTGGATGCTTTCTACATGTGGCAGGGCTGTAACTGTTCACAGCTGTCCGAGACGCCAGTGGAGCAGGAGCAGCTTGGAGTTTTAACTTTCATTTTACAAAGAACAACATGTTTGAAGGTTTCAGCAGGCAAGTTGTAACTGGCATTCACTTTTCGTTCTTCTAGAACACTGAAAATCTCCCCCAGCACTTTAGAAGGGGGAACCTGACTGCATTAAGGAAGAAGTGGGAGAACCCAGTGCCGGGAGCCTTCTCTCTTCCAGACTCAGTGCGAAACAGCAGCGCAGAGGGCAGGCACAGAGACGACCCTCCTCCCGCTGAAGTGGTGGGCAGCTCTGCCTCTGGGGTCCAGGCTGACCAAGAGGAGCAAGTCCAACCCAGACCTAAGATCAGATCGCCTCCTGAAGCTCCTACTAAGTACCCGCACCCCCGCATCAAGGACAGAGAGCATCTTAAAGACCCCTCAACAGAAAATAAAAAGATGGAAAATTGTCTGGGAGAATCCAGACATGAAGTAGCAAAACCCGAAATGAGTGAAAACGCAGAAACTGCAAACAAAATAGAGAAATACAATGTTCCGCTGAACAGGCTGAAGATGATGTTTGAGAAAGGTGAACCAACTCAAACCAAGGTAAGGATTGGGTGGGTCTAAAACTTGAAAAAAAGCCAATTCAAGTAACTAAACAAAGCTTTTTTTCTAGTCTAGACTTTGAGTGGTGGCGAGTACGTGATCAGTATGTCTTTTGATTCAAGTTAGACGAGTAGTTAACAAAAAGTCTCAGATGAATTACTTACAGAAATGCTAAGATTTGTGGGTCTGTGACCCAGTTTCACATGAAATTAAGTGCACACTGGGATTCAGGTCGATAACCTAGAAAGGAAGAGAGTTTGATGCCGTCTGGGTTCTGTATTTTCCTATGCTTGCCCTTTTAATTTGTCTTCCTGTGCCTTTTGTCATTTGTAGCTTTGGGGGGTGGAATTACTGCTGAATCTTTCTCTCTGCCTGGACACAGCTGCAGGCTGAGTGTTAAGGCCAGAGTTTAACATTAAGACTGAGGCTTAGTTGTCTTCTTGCTAGCTGAATCCTTTCTCTTCTTAACTTCCTCATCTGTGCCTTCCAGCAAATGTTTTCTATCAGCTAAAATCCTATCCCAGGAAAAATCAATGAAAATAGCCAGACTAGCTGTAGCCTTCAGGAGTTTTGACTTGCAAATGCACAGGGTTGCATTTTCCTACAACTGCTAATGAAATTTGATCCTTAGTGTGGAGTGCAGACCAGGTCCCCAGAGGGAATTACTTAACTAGAAAATGAGTTACATATGCTGGTGACTTACAACACAATCCAGGGGCCGCAGAGCTGGTCAGTTTTTCCAGTTTTCTCATACTTTCCTGCATATCTGGCTTTGTACATGGGGTTCATTTGTTACAACAGTCATAATGAAATAAACAGATCCGATGGGGAGCAAAGCCGTCATTTACTCTAGATCACATCTAGATGGGAAAGTGGACTTTTTTTTTTCCAGCTAAATATTTGGTCCAAATGTCTACATTTGTGAAGTAATGGTAGGAAGTGTTTCTTCTGAGGCAAAAATTAGATAACTCATCCTAGAATTCCTCAGTTATGTTTGATGCGATTTAGCCATCCCTTCTTGTATCTTGCAGTGCCTGTCACTTTTCTACTTAGGAAAGTTCTTTAGTGTTCGGCGATCATCAGTTGAGGATGTAAAAAGAATTTTTAAAGGTTTGCAAAACTAGAACCCTTTTCTCTTCATGAATTTTAACTCTGTTTTAACACAAACCAGTTGGCAAGATATGTAACCACAAAGCAGTCTTAAGACTTTTCTTAAACTCTCTTCCTTCTCAATTTTGAGTCCTCTAGGCCTGCCAACTCCCCTTTTCCCCTTTATGGTCTTAATTAAAAAAAAAAAAAATTTTTTTTAATTTAAATGGGAAGAAGAATTTTAAATGGAAGGAAAAAACGTCAGAAATCCTAAATAGAGAGGAAGGGGCTTTGTTGTGTGTCAAAGCACCATTGTAAGTCGTCCCCTCTCAGACCCTGTTAGGGGCAGGACGGCTGATGTCATGGCAGCATGCACAATGTTGATTCAGTGCAGAAGGCTAGTACATGTCAAAACTGGCCTACGGTTGGAAATGACTGGGACTGCAGCAAACAAAATGCTGATTATGTGTAAAGATCTGGTAAGAGACTTTTTTCTCATAAATGTCTGGTGAAAGATGGGTTAGAACAAGCCTATCTTTTTGTGGCTGGTCAGAGTGAAGAAAAAAAATTCTCATATAAAGGAAGATCCTACTAGATCAGGCTGGCATTCAGCCTGATTGCTATTGGGTCTAGGAAGATGGAGGGGCTCTAAGACTGACCAGACCTTTTGAGGGGGAGTTTTTTAAACTTCCTGTTTAAATAGTCATTTGTCCTTTAATGGACTGCTTAGGGAGTGTAAAACACAACTGCCATTGTTTTTGTTTTCTATTTTTTGGCCACGCCCGAGTGGGTTATGGGATCTTAGCTCTCCAACTGGGATCAAACCTGTGGTCCCTGTAGTGGAAGTGTAATGTCTTAAGCACTGGACCATCAGGGATGTCCCTGCCCTTAGTTTTATAGCTGCTTCTAAGTAAGCATTATTACCCATGTTAGCAACAGCCTAGATTACTTTAAAAATATGTCTAATATTTCAATAAAACTGGTATTTAAAAAAAAAGCTTTGTCTACTCTAGATTATGGAATGATTAATCAGTTTGAAACTATGTTATGGTTATTGCTAACATAATTTCAGCTTTAGTATGGATAAGGTTTTAATCAGGAAGTCACATAATTGGATCTTTGGAAGAAAGCTCTGAGAAATATGGTAGAGACACTAAGCAATCTTTTCTGGAGCAAGAGTGAAGAAGTAAGAATGATTACCTCAGAGCTAAAAAATTGTCTCTGAGACAAGTGACTATATTAGGTACAAATCATGTGAATCTTTGTCTCCATAATTGAATTTAGAGAACTGGACTGAATCTCAGCTAACTAGTTGAGCAGGGTCAGGGAGCCCATAGATAATGGAAATGCATGATCCAAATCTCTTTATCTCCTAAATCTTTTTTTATCAGAGTTATTTACAGGAGGCCAAGTTAATTGCCTGAGTTCCACATTTCTTAGTCCCTCTTGCTCCCATTTATCTGAGACGGTTCCTGTCCACTTTTCTGCCTGATCTCTTCTCTGCAGTCCTTCTTTATTTCTCTGTCCCTTGTGTAGTCTTCTCTCCAGGACTCCAAAAGATGGATTCCAAAACTAGATTCTCATCTTGAATTCTTAACCCAAGCTTCAGCTCCAATTTTGTGGTGGCCTGCCAGATTGCACACCTCTTTGTGAATAAAACTAAAGCACTCAATTTCAAGAAAACTAAAAAAGAATCCATTATCTTTCCAACCAAAACCTGCTCTAACCCCTGTTGTCCTCTCTTAGTGCATCACCATTCACCACATTTCCTGTTCTGTAAAGTTTGGGATCAGTTCTTTTTGCCTGCCTCTTCTCAGCCAGTCATTTACTAAGCCATCTAAATAGGTCTACACATCTCTCAATATGGGCCGTTCTCTCCAAGAGGTCCCACACCTGGTTCTATGGTGTAGCCTTATCTTGCCTTGTAGTATTGCTGCAACCTTGCCTATTGGCCTCTCGTTTTTTTCTTTCCTTTCATCCTCCACACTGTTGCTATTTATTTTTCTAAGCATAGTTGTAAATTATGCTATTCCCTTGATCAGAAACTTTTGATGTCTCCAAATAAATCCATATTTAATATTTGGGTCTTCCACAGTCTGATCTAAACCCACCTTTCCAATCTCCTAGCTAACCTTAGTTGGTAAAGAATCTGCCTACAACGCAGGAGACCCAGGTTCGATCCCTGTATCAGGAAGGTCTGCTGGAGAAGGGAATGGCAATCCACTTCAGTATTCTTGCCTGGAGGATTACAAGGACAGAGGAGCCTGGCAGGCTACAGTCCAAGGAGTCACAAAGAGTCGGACATGACTGAGCAACTAGCACACACACGTACAGCTAACCTAATACTCAAACACTGGATTACTCCTCATTTTAAACTAGTCATGTCTTTCCCCTAATTTCTACCTTTGGAAATCTTACTCATCAAGGTCTATTAATACTATGAGACCTTACCTCAGTTTTTTCCCATGTGAAATTACCTTCACCCTCCTGACCGTCTTGTAGAATTTCTTTTTACTTCTCCTTGGCCATTTTTATCATGCTTCTTTAATAATCTGTTTGAATTTGTATACTTCCCAGTCTATGGGGTCTCACAGAGTCGGACACGACTGATGTGACTTAGCAGCAGCAGCAGCAGTCTATATAATTCTTTCAAAGTAATGTTGCCTTTATCTTCCAGTGGTCAACCCAATGCTTGACTCTTAGTGTTTATTTAATAAAAAGAAAAGAAGCTTAGATCTCAACTTATAAATAATGACAACTGATCACTTTTCCTCTACTTTTAGTGGATAGGTTAAGTCAGGTGGTTTAGTTGAACATGATAGTTCTAATTCCTACTGCAAATGAGCAGTGGATGGATTAGTGTGACCTATCAGTATGAGGAAAGAGAAGCTCTCCCTAATGGCATACATTAAGTGTGGCTTAGCATCTTTAACTGCATGTATATGTTGATCTGGGTTTTAGGTAGCCTTTTATGAAAAAGCTGATCAAGCAGTTATTCAGTTATCATCATGTTGACATTTGAATCCATAATCTTCAAAGGTCACGATGCAGTTATTCAAATGACCAAACAATGTAAGGAGCATGTGACAGACTCCTTAAGTCTCACTTATTTCTAGTTGCTTCCTAACTTATTTGTTTCACACAAATCCTTGGATAGGAGAATAAAGACCAAATAACTGGAAGGTATATTTCTACCTTCATAACCTAATTATAATACTATCTTTTGCTTGGGTCAAGATTAAAACAATTAGTTGTGATGCAAGAAAATAAGGCTTGAATATGGACATTTCTTGATTCTTCTACACAAGAAGCTCTCCCTAATGGCATACATTAAGTGTGGCTTAGCATCTTTAACTGCATGTATATGTTGATCTGGGTTTTAGGTAGCCTTTTATGAAAAAGCTGACCAAGCAGTTATTCAGTTATCATCATGTTGACATTTGAATCCATAATCTTCAAAGGTCACGATGCAGTTATTCAAATGACCAAACAATGTAAGGAGCATGTGACAGACTCCTTAAGTCTCACTTATTTCTAGTTGCTTCCTAACTTATTTGTTTCACACAAATCCTTGGATAGGAGAATAAAGACCAAATAACTGGAAGGTATATTTCTACCTTCATAACCTAATTATAATACTATCTTTTGCTTGGGTCAAGATTAAAACAATTAGTTGTGATGCAAGAAAATAAGGCTTGAATATGGACATTTCTTGATTCTTCTACACTAGTTCTGACTACTGCTTCTTCCTTGCAGTGTTTCCCTCTTCTCGGAGAGGAGTTAGGTAAAGAAAAGAAGAGAAAAAAAGAGAATGCCTCCTCACCAAAAATCTCTATTTTCTAGAACACATAAACATACTTACGCATTCACTCTTTGGGGGCTAACCAAGGATAGGAGGTAGTAATGAGAAA